AGGAGGGACTAAGAGTGAAAGTATCTTAAGAAAAATTATTTGATGGCTTATATTCAGGGGAAGGATTCTAAAACATGTATGTGTAAATAAGTAAATATAGTTAAATGTATATAAGCCTACAAGTAACTTTAAGCATATGTAATTATTTTCTGTATGCCCTGATATTTAAAAATGCAGGATTTTATGTAAATATAAATATAAAAAATATTTATGTGTATTTATTCCTATTTATTTAGTGTTATTAGGCTTCCCACTAAAGGCTTCCAGGATACTTAGCAGCATTTCTCAGACCCATCCCATTCTAAACCTATAAATCCTCCACAAAGCTTCAAAACACAGGGGTATTTGCAGAAAAGATGATTTGAGCATCCTTGTTTAGTAACAGAAATTTTAAATTAGGTTGAACAGCAACCAGATGTATTTTGAACAGTTGTTTGTCCCCCCCCCCCCCCCCAAATTGAGTTTTAAAACATTTGGGAAGAGCCTGGGGCTATAGCTCAGTGGTAGAATGCTTAACTTGCACCTGTGAGGCACTGGGTTCTTTCTATAGCACCACTTTAAAAATTTTTTTAAAAAAGTAAAATAAAGGTATAGTGTCCACCTGCAATTGAAAAAAAGAATTTAAATTTTAAAAATTTGGGAAATTGATTAAGCAACAACTCATAGACTAAAGGCGAAGAAAATTATTTCAAAAAAAAAAAAAAGATGGCCCTCAACACTTTGCCTCCTAATAGGAATTAACTTATTTCTTAAAACTTCTGAAATAGCAATATGGCCCATTTTATAATGCTGAGAATCTCAAATTATTTTAATTGTGGGATTTTATTATGTATATGTGTGTTTCTCATTCTAGCTTTCTTGTAACATTGTTGAAGAATGCTTATCACACCATATACATTATTTGGGTACACAATTTAGGGTGACAGATTGTTCCTATTTATTTGAGACTAAGGGGTTTTCCAGGGCACAGGACACTCAGTGTTCAAACCAGGACAGTCCTAGGAAAACAGCAGTTGGTCACCTCCTTGAGCCATGCCCTGGTCCAGATGCATGCAAACCCTGGAGAAAACAGACCTCGTACTGCCTCCGTGGAGTGTCCATTCTAACTGGGAAGATGAATTTAAATGAGTATTATAGGACTCACTGTGAGGAGACAGAGAATCCTCTTGGAAAATGCTAGTATCTAGCTTGAGAGTAAAAGGGGTTGAGTCTAGCTAGTTGCAGGGTTAGATGGGTGAGGGCCCTAAGGTGTGTTCAAGAGACCACGAGCATGTCGAGGGAGCAGCATAAGGAAAACCTCTGAGCAGGAGAGGACCCAGCACATTCTGGGAACGGGGAAGACAGCGATGACTGAGGCCTAGGCAGCAGAGAGGAATGGGTGTGCATCAGACCCAACCCAAAGGCAGAAGCAGACCTGGCCTGGCTGTTCTCTGTTCTGAGGCCAGTGTGGGGACACCAAGGACATGAGAGCTGGAAGGTGGTATGGGTTGCATTTGCTCTCAGGCTGTGGGACTTCAGGACTCAAATGAAGGCTTGAATCAGGCAAGATAGGAGTTGTTAGGGAGAAGTTTGGGAATCAGATGATTGTTCCTGAGTTTTCATGGTGCTTATGAAGTAAGAAAGAGGTAGAAAGATGGAATTGGGGAGTTTAGAACAGAGAGAAAGTGCCAGTGCTCGCTCTCATTGCTCTCACTGAAAGCACATTTGCATTCATCAGGTGGCACCAAGGACTAGTGTGCTTCTGACTTCTACCTGTGCAAACCTGCAGCCAGCCCCTCACCCAAGGCCACATGCCCACCCTTGTTTTGCCACTCCCAGGATCCTTCCTGCATCTTAGAGGAGTCAGGCCCAAGTATGTTTACAGCTGCCCTGTCGTACTCTGGTAGCTGCTAAACACAATGAAAAGGTCATTTTCTCTGTCCCACAGATAACATTTTAAAACTTCAGTAGCCACATCTGGTTAGTTAATGGCCACCATATTGGACAGAGCAGTATTATAGAACATTTCTATCATCCCCCAAAGTTCTACTGGACATCACTGATGTAGAATGGCCCATCCTCTGTGACCCTTTTCCAACATCAACATATCCAGGGCAGGGCAAGAGTCACCAAATCCAACTGAACAGGAACTCCTTCTGCCCCAGTGGGAGAGTTCAGGAAGAGGAGCTTGTGGCCTGAAAGAATCTCAGTGCCTCCTCTGCCTGCTTTCCTCTTGGGGTCCCAGTGAACTGGCTGGATCACAACCCTTTCTCCCTCCTCAGTTCAGTAACCAAACTATACCTGAGCACAACTTAGGTCCCTGCTGGGGAGATAGGACCTCCTGTACCTGTGGAGGCAGGACAGTTCTGTCACAGTTCCCGGGTCAGCTGGCCTTGCACAAAGACCTCAGGAAGGTTTGATATGAGGGGCTGCGGTCTGCACTTCTGTCACTGTGATGTGCATTGGTGACTGCCAGGGGCATCACCCTTAAGGTGGTGGTAGTGGTGGACACCAGGTGGTGGTATGTGAGGAAGCCAGTGGGATGGGAGTGAGTGACTCTGGCTGGGTTGAGGGAAAGAGACTGGCAGTAACGGAAAGAAAACCATGCTCGGAGCATAGGTGTGTTCCACTGCTGAGGATCCTAGACCCGACTTGAATAGAGAGAGGGAGAACTTGAAAGGAAAGGATGACCAGAGACTATCAAGAGTGGACGGCTCCTACAAAGCAGGAGACGGACCCCAGGACAGAGCTGCCCAGTGCAGCCTGCAGAGAGCAGGGGGGGGCTATGCCTTGTCTAACAGGGGGAGGGAGGCAGGGCAGATCTCTCAGGGGTGTTGTGGATCAGGAATGCAGGAGCAGTGTGGCTGAAAGGGTCTGGCTTGGGACTGTCCGAGGTTTCAGGGGACTTCCACCTGGGGCGGTGCCATCTGCAGGATCCACGCACTCCAGGATTCTCCAGGCCTCCCTGTGGCTGGCAGGTCAGTGCTGGCCTCAGCTCCTCTCCCCCTAAGCCTCAGGCAGGGCCTCTTGCTCATCTCCAGCCTGAAAGTCGATGTCCCCTGAAGCAAACAAGCATACAGGAGCCTGAGGCGGAAGCTGCAATGCTGTCTAGGACCTGTCCTCAGAAGTCCTCCCTGTCGCCCCCTCGGCAGAGCCAGCCCTCATTCAGGCATGTCAGGGGACACACAAGAGTGTGGCCCAGGAGGCTAGGGTCATCAAGGCCTATTAGGAAGCTGGTTGCCTTGGAGGGAAATAGGGAGCTTTTGCAAGACTCACGGGGAGGCGACAGGTGAGGTGAGTAAGGCTACATGGTCCTGTGGGGTTGTCCTGCAGGGTTGTCGGCTCTGTTCATGTTGATGAGCTTGTTTGTCTAGAGGTGACCATATCACAGCCCTTGTGTAGGCTGATGTGCTCAAATGTGGCCACACGCAGATGGTGATGGAATCCTGGCTGGCTGCAGTTCTGCTGGGCCGCCGTAAGCTCGAGGTGGGGATAAGGACATGTGTTGACAGGGGGATGATGAAGTCGAGCTAGGTGTGTGTGAAATGAGAGAAGAGCTGGCCCATGACGATCAAGGAAATGGGAGAGGGTGGCTGGAGCCGGGTATGCTCAAATGGGAGGAGAGAAAAAAATGAGTGAACAGTAGAAAAGAAAGAAGGTTCAATTCGGAGAGATGGAAATTTCTGATTGTTCCAGGTGGTACACCAGGGCCAGTGGATGACCATGGCAAGGTCGGGTCGATGGGGAACGGGGCAGGGGCCCTGGAGTTGGGACACCCCTAATGTTATGAGCATCACAGCCATCCACCAAATGAGGTGGGACTGGAGGCTCAAGGAATAATGAGAGTCAGGGGCAAAGTCTCAGAATTTGAGGGGTCGCAGCTGTGAGGTTTGTGATAACAACTGGGATGAGAAGAATATTCAGGAGACTCAGTGAAGCCACAGTTTTGAAGAGGAGTGGAGCAGTGACATATTGGTCCTACCCCTGGGGGCAGGAAGATAGCTGTGCCATCGTGTGGCTCTGCCATTATGATACGCAGTGTGCTGGTTTTCATGCACCCTTCCTAGCTCAGAGCTTCCTCCCTGTGTCAGGCCGTAAAGGGAAATTTCTCTTCTCCAAGGCAGAATCTAGTCTTCTCCTGCCTCTGGTTGGCCATAGGGGAATTCTCTGACCTACCTTGTCTGATAATGGTCATAGACACTGCTCATTCCAGAGGGGTTCTGTCCATGCTCTGGGTAAGGAAAGCCCTACAGAGAGGCCAGGGAGATCCGAACAGACAGGCCTGATGGCTTTCCCTGCTCCATCTGTTGGCCGTCATGCCTGTGCAGTGAAGTCTGCATAAAAATCCAAAAGGACAGGGTTCTGAGAGATCCCAGGTAACTGTACGAGAGGTTCCCGGAGGGGGACACAGCCAGAGAAGGCACCCCTTCCCCATGCGTCCCCTGTGTACCTCCATCTGTGCCTTTGTAAGTGTCTGTAGGTGATTCCCTGAGTTCTCCAAGCCATTGAGTAAGTACATCAAACCTGAGGAGGCGCTTGTGGGAAACCCCATTTACAGCCATTGGTCAGAGCACACAGAACAACCTGGGACTTGTGAATCACATTTAAAGTGCAGGGGAAGGCCTTGGGGACGAGCCCCCAACCTGTGGGCTGTGACACCCTGTCAAGGGAGAAAATGTGCCCAGCTGGTGTCCACTGCAGAATCATTTGTCTACTTGTTTGTGGGGAGAAATCCACATAGCTGGTGTCAAAATTCCATGCTGATGTGGTGTGAGAGTGAAAGGAAAACAGTTGCTTTTTTATTATTATTTTTCCCTGACATACAACCTGCTAAGCAGAATAAAGACCAAGTGTGGAAGACAGAACTTGTGTTTTGAGACAGGCTAAGAAAGACTTGTCCTCAGCAGCCCCAAGAGGGAGAGACTGTGCAGACTTCCTGTCTCCTGCTTGTTCCAGAGCGCTCTCCCAGTGCCCTGTGGGAGCAAGAGGAGGGTCCTGTTTCCCACCACCCTGGTGTTCAGAAGCTTTGCTGTTGGAGTCACAGGATGGCAGCTGCTGTTCTGCCCCCCACTTATGGTGAGTCAGGGGGTCTTGGCAGCCCATTTCAGGCTTGAGGGTCCATAGCCCCCAGAGCAGTACAGAGGAGAGGGCCCAGAGGCCCCGGGGTCAGGTGGGGTGGCTCCTGGGACTTAGGACTTGGGTGTTTGTATGTTAGTGCTCTGTCACCTACATGGTGAATATGTGGGAGGTTTTGAATTATACCCTTAATTCTTTCGGTAAACTTGAAAAAAACTTGAGAACCTCAATGTCCTCATCTGTGAGATGACAGCAATCTCTTCTTTATGTGCAGTCAGACCTTTGAGTCCTGTTTTCTGGCCAGGGTGAGACAGCTTTGTCCAGGTTTTCTGTGAAGGTGCAGGTGGGTATCTGTGTGGGTGGGCTTGTTTATGGGCTGTGTGTCTTCGTGTATGGTCAAGCACAGGTGGATGGAGAAGCCTCCAGAGTGTCAGCACTGGGCATTCTGGATTCTTGTGACTTGTTCCTTCTTCCCCAGATCAGTCCTCCCTGTGCCCAGCCCCTCATAGGAAACCATGCAGAGGGAAGGAGGGGCTGGCTGGTGAGCTCCTGGCCAGCTGGCTACAGGTGAGTCGGCTCTTCCTTTTTCCCTGTCGTCATTCCTTTGGACTTGCTTCCTTTAGTGGCCTGGAGCCTCACAACTGATGGGTCCTTAGACATCACAGGATCCCCAGGCCCCCTATGAGGGTTCAGGGGCTGCACAGAAGACGTCCAAGTACGTCAATACCTACTACATTGTCAAAGCTCCCTCTTAGCTCCATAAATGCATCACGTGCTTCTGAGAGTTCAAGGGGAAGCTGAGAAGAGATGGCCATGTCCTCAACTCAGACAGTTTCTTTTTATAGTTGTAGATGGACACCGTGCCTTTATTTTACTTTATTATTTTTTATGTGGTGCTAAAGATTGAACCCAGTGCCTCACACATGCTAGGCAAGCACTCTGCACTGAGCCACAGCCCCAGCCCCTCAGACAACTTTTGATGGCTATGGGGAATCATTCATTCCTTTACCAGGTATTTCTGCTCAACCCTGGAGTTGAGGGAAAGAAGACTCCAAGGGCTCACAATCAGTAGGAAAAGAAGGTCTCTGTAGCACAGGATCTGGGGATGGGCCCAGTAGACAGGAGGCAAGCACGGAGGACAGAGCCCAGACCTGCCCACCCGTATCCTGCTCTGGGTTTCCTGTCCCTGGATCTGTCATCCTGGACCTCTTCCTGTTGGTTTTGGCAGCTCTGTAGCTAAGCCATAATGTTTGTGATGGTCTAGGACCTGGTGACCTTCAAGGACGTGGCTGTGGAGTTCTCCCAGGAGGAGTGGGCATTGCTGGACCCGTCTCAAAGAACTCTGTACCGAGACGTGATGCTGGAGAACTGCAGGAACCTGGCCTCCCTTGGTAAGCCCAACGTCAGCCCTGCATTGATTTAATGGCTCAGGTGGCAAGACTTTCCTTTTATTCTGATTTTATTTTTATTGATGTAAAATTCAACAGTTGAATTATTGCAGAATGTACCTTCAAGTGGCTTTTAATGTTCTCAGTGTTGTGTGCCATCATCAGCACTACAAAGTCAGAACTCTTTGTCACCCCTGCTCTGGTTTAACTGTGGTGTCTCCCCCAAAGGTTCATGTACGGGAAACTTGGTCCCCAGTGAAACAGTACCAAGGTAGTGGGGCCTGGTGGAGATGAGTAGATCAGGGAGCAGCACTCTTAGAAAGGGAATGAGTCAGGTCGGTGGCACCAGGTTAGTTCTCTCGAATATAGGTTGTTGTAAAGGGAGGCCACCCCATGTGCTTAGTCCCATCTCTCGGGAGCTGGTTCCCTTCCCACTTCTCTACCATGTTATAACAGAGCTACAGAGGCTTCTCTAGAGGCCTGCACCATGATGTTTCAACTTATCAAATTTCAGAATCATTAGCCAAAATAAAACCTCTTTAGCTTATATATATAAGTACTGAGCTTCAGGTATTTCATTGTAGCAAAATATCCTATTCCTTTTAAGCAGTCAGTACCATTACCTTCTCCATCCGTTGCTGCTGGTAACCATTAACCTGCTTTCTATCTATGGATTTGCCAATTCCCAACATTTCATGTAAATGAAACTATAAAATATGTAACCTTTTGTGTGTTTTTTTCATGTGACACAGTATTTATAGCTCTGTTGTATATATCAGTGTTTCGTTCCTTTTAATAGGAACTGAATAGTATTCCATTGTGTGGACATGATTGAATTTTGTTTATCCACTCATTGGATGATAAACATCTGGGTTGTTTCCACTTTGGGGCTATCATGAATAATACTGCTGTGAATATTTGTGTGTAAATTTTTGTTGACACACCTGCTTTCAGTTATCTTGGCTGGGGATGCTGACAGGTCATGATACTTGTTTAGCTTTTAAGGAACTGCCAGCCCTTTCCACAGCAACTGCACCAATTTACATCCCTACAGTGAGAGAGAGTCCAGCGTTCTCCACCTCCCCACCTGTGTCCTTGGTGGCAGCCATCTGAGAGATGTGGAGTGGAGTCTCACTTTGATCTGCATTTCCCCGTGACTGACCACACTGAGCCTCTTTCCATGCACTTCCTGGCTGTTTGTATCTCTTCTTTGAAGAAGTGTCTATTCAAATCCTTTGCCCATTTTTAAATTGGTTGTTGGTTCTTCTCTTAGTGGGTTGTAAAAGTTTGTTGTGTCTTCTGGGTAGTAAACCCTTTATTTGCAAATAATTTCTCTCCATTCCATGGGTCTCTTTTCATTTTCAAGATATTCTGTCCTTTGATGCATAAAAATTGTAATTTTGATAAAGTCCAGTTTACCTCGTTGCTCCTTACACTTTTGGTCTCTTACCTAAGAAACCATTGCCGAAGATAGTCGTGAAGACTTAGCCCTGTTTTCTTCCAGCAGTTTTCTAGTGTCAGCATTTAGATCCAGATGTTTGAGTCATTGGGTTAATCTTATATAAGATGTGGAGAAGGCGTCAGCTTCATTCTTTAGTATGTGAGTCCCCAGTTGTGCACCTTTGTAAAAGAGGCTAGTCTTCCCCCAAAAAAATGGTCTTGGGGCCTTGTCAAGTATTACTTGGCCTCAGGACGTCAGAGCCTGTGTGCTCGCAGTTCTCCCGATGTCCTCAGGTGTGTCCTTGCTAGTTCCTTACTCTCTCTCGGTAACTGTTGCTTTCTGGTAAATTTTATAAGGTAATGTGAGTCTTCCTGCTTGTTCTTTTTTAAGACTGATTTTCCTATCCAGGTTCCTTTGCAATTCCATGAATTCTAAGATTTGCTTCCATTTCTGGGGAAAAAAACGGAAGGGGATCAGGATTTTGATATGGTCGCCTTATCTCTGTGGACTACTTTGGGTGGGACTGTGATCTTAACAATAGTAAGCTTCCCAGTATGTATCCTTCTGATGCTCATTTGTTTTATTTCATTCTGTTAGAGAAGATGCTTTTTATGATTTTATTATTTTATTTATGAGGTGGGCTCTTGCTGCATTGCTCAAGCTGGTCTCAAACTTGTGTACTGAAGCAGTTCTCCTGCCTCAGTCCCCCGAGTAGCTGGGGCTCCAGGAGCACACCCCTGTGCCCAGTGAGTTCATTGTTTTTAAATTTAGTGAGCCCTGTTTTATGGCTTGACATATGACCTGCCAGAGTTCCATAAGCATCTGGGATCAGCGTGTCTTCTCTTGTTGGATGGCTGCTCTTTGTGCCTTTTAGGTCCAGTTAGCTTGAAGTATTTCTTAAGTCCTCTGTTTCCTTATTAACCAATATGAGTTATTTTATTCGTTATTGAAAATGAGGTATTAAAGTCTCAAACCACTAGGAATAGAACTCTTTCTCCTTTCGATTCTGTCATTTTTTTATTTTGAAGTTCTATCAGGTATGTATTGTTTATAATTACTGAATTTTCTTTGTGAATCGGCCCTGTACGTTTATATCGATGATGCATATGACATCTTTACTCGTATCTTGAGCAGTCTTTTCTCAAGCGCAGCGTTCAGCCGGACCTCAGCAGAGGCTGCCCTCTCTTCTCGGCTTTTGTCTGCAGTGCCTCTGTGCACCCTTTTCTCTCCTCTCATTGTCAGCATGTTGGTGTCTTCACTGTAAAATGAGTTTCCTGTAATACATAGCATGTCACTGGATTATTTTTACATGCATTCTGCCAAAATCCGCCTTTTAATTGAGCCTCATCCTTTTTTTCATTTTTGTTTCTCAATTTTTCCATTATTGTTAACTATTTTCTCATGGGCTGTTTTGATTCCCATTCTTTTGTGTGTTCTTCAGATATTTTCTTAGTGGTTGCCCTCAGGATTACCATTTATGTTTTCATTTGTTATAACAGTCTAGTTTGGTTTAATACCAGCCTAATTTCAATAGTAAAAGAGACTTTACTCCTATGTAGCTGTGTTCCTTCTCCCATAGTTGTTTTGTCTCAAATTGTATCATCATGAATCGTGCGCCATTAAGGTAGATTTATAATTAATCAATTTAGGCCTTTATCTTTAAGTGATATCAGAAAAATAGAAAAGTTGCAAACCAACCCTATATCTTCCTTGACTTATATTCACCTCTGTGTTTACCTTTACCTGTGTTCTCTAATTCTGTTTGTCCCGGTGCTGAGGATGAAAGCCGGGCAAGTGCTCTCCCTCGGAGCCGCCCCAGCCCTGCCAGTGCTCTTCCCTTGTGTGGATTGGAGTTACTTTCCATTGTCCTTTGATTTTAGCCTGAAGGTGTCCCTTTAGCCTTGTTGTTGTAGGGTAGCTGTACTCCAGAGTTCTGAACTCCTAGGGGCATGGGGGGCTGTTCAAAGCCATACACATCAAACATCTTTTTCCCCACTTTTTCTTCCAGGCTTTCTGGTCCTACTAATTTTGTTTGCATCTACTCTCTGGCAGGACTGACTAATACATTGGCCTTTAAATCTGTCACATGTGGAAGGTTCACAGCTAATTTGTACTAGGTTTACTGAGAGACCAAAGACGACACCTGGAGATGGGATGTGAGTCAAAGGGTTAATTGAGAAATGCCTGCAGGGAGTGTCCAGGGGCAACAGGCTGGGCCAGTAGCACCTTCATCCTTCACAGTGCTTCCTTGAATAATGCCTCCATCCCTCACAAAATGACTCCAGAAAACAGCATGTCCATCCCTCTCAATACTTTGTCCAGTGGTCACTGGCTAGACAAGTAGCACTTGTCCTCTCCACAGTGCCCCCAGTTCCACACCAGTTACCACAGGAAAAGGGGTTTATAAGCTAGACTACAGAAGTAGGGACATCACTAGCCAGCTTACTTTGTCCCTATAGGACCAGCACCCAAGGAACTTGGCATGCGTGTAAGAAAGCAGCTTTCTACAGGTAACACTACTTACCCTAATTCCCAGGGTCCTTCAGAATATTATGTATCTGGACATTCCAGCTTAGACTCACCCTCATTGTTCCATTAATTTGGCTAGGTTTGGGGGAGAGGGGAGGGGCACTTCAGAGGCATGGTGTTTTACTGCCCTTCTCTGCAAAGTTGACACGGATCCCAGATCACAAGAGTTGGGAGTTAGACAAATAAGGCAAGCCCTTTGACCCAGTCCTGCAGGAAGCCCACAGACCGGTCAGAAGAAATCACTGAGTGAAGTCCTCTGTGCTCCCTCCATGAGTAGTAATGCTGGCTCTTGTCTTACCGGCCAAAACAGAGAAGATTGGTCTGGTTCCGTTAAAATGTCATAATACTCTTACCCAGATCCAGCTATTTATTTTTCCCTTGATTAGACATTTAACTGACTGCTATAAACTTTTGATAAGTTTCCAGAGCTCCAATAAAGATGATCTTGAACATTTTTGCAGTTTATTTATACAGTCTTTTATGGAGGGATGGGCGCTTAGAGTTCCCTACTCGACTGTTTTCATTGCTGTCACTGTGGACAGTCTTTATTGAGCGCCTCTCTATCCTTGGGTCTGGGAGGGCTTGGGGATAGTGGTGAACAAGGTAGACAGATCTGCCTCCTCACAGAGCTGTCTAATGCCCTCTCTATGCACAGAACATCTCTTGTCCTAACTCTCAATACTAAGTGAGGGCCTCTAAAAGATGTTTCTGACTTTAGGCATGGGCTTCTGGAACTATTTAAGCCCTGTCATCCTGAATATTGAGTTAAGGATACTTTCATTTTTGTTTCTTGTAAGTTACAATGTTCAGAATTTAGATTAAATTATTTCACTGCTTCTGAAGTCACACTTTTCCATCTTCAGAAGTCTTGGCTTTAGTTTTCATGGAGTTGCCTGTCCTGCAGACAGTCTCTGCACACCATGTGTATTTTCTCCATAAATAGGGTGTCATGTTGATAAACACAGTTTGATCTCCCAGTTGGAGCAAGAAGACAAGACGGTGACAGAGGAGAGAGGAATCCTTCCCAGCACCTGTCCAGGTGAGCACCAGGTAGATATGAGTCCTTGTGAGGAACGGCTGTGGCCATGGACTCAGGAGTTGGGAGTATTATCAGAGAATTTGAAAAATGACAAAGACGGACAAGGAAGTTTCTTGTGTACTCTTTTTCTTTTCTCGTCAGTTCTCCATCATCTCATACTTTACTTTTGCTCTAGGGAGAAATTAAAATGCAGCTGTTTTCTAAATTTAAATCCCACTTTTCTTTTCTGATAATACCTTGTTAGTCTTTTATTAATCTTTCTAGAATCCTTTATTTTAATTAGTGCATGATAATTATACACAGTAGATTCATTATGATATGTTTGAACATATACATAACATAATTTGATCAACTTAATGTCCTCCTTCCCTTCCTCTCCTCCTCACCTCTGATCCCCTTTCTTTATTCTCCTGGTCTCCCTTCTGTGAGGTCCCTTTTTAAATTTTTTTTTTCTCTTTAGCTTCCACATTATAATTGTTTTTAAAAAAAACTAATACCTAAAATTTCCATAACAAAGCCCCCTTCATTGCAAACCCCCTCCAGGACCAACTGCAGTCATGTGGTAGTCTTTTCTTTTCCTCATCAACATAAATTTCTTTTCAATTTGTTTCAGATTTGGATACTGTACTTAAAACCAAATGGCTGACTCCTAAGAAGCATGTTTTTAGAAAAGAACAGACTAAAAGTATAAAAATGGTAAGACAAGGAATGATTTCTGGTTTTCCATAGTAGGAAAAAATCCCATGCTAGAAAAGAAATAACCCAGACACTCATTGTGGAAAGTGTCATTTACACTTGAGAAAATGGTGTCCCTAGAGAGATACTGCAAAACTGCTGTGACTTTGGAGAAAAGTGTAAGTTAACTTCTAACTTGTTTCTTCACTGAGTGTTCTCACAAATAATTATTTCATTAAATGTGACTCAAGTATTGTCCATTTGAAACATAAATTGGTCTTAAATTTATCAGAAAATGTCTAGTGAATATAAATACCTGTGGCAAAGCATCTCTCTTTTTCAACTTCAAAGACTTAAGTCAGAAGCCATACATAAGCTGAAAGTAGCCAAAACATCAATTATAACGATGTAGCAAAATTCCTAGGAAAGAGAATTGATACACAAATATCAAATATTTAAAATATTATGTTATAGTTACCATTCACCTCTCAATCAACAGGAAAGAAGTCATCGTGGAGTGAAAATCAATGAATGTAATCAGTGCTTTAAAGTCTTCAGCACCAAATCTAACCTTACTCAGCACAAGAGAATTCACACTGGAGAAAAACCCTATGACTGTAATCAGTGCGGAAAATCCTTCAGCAGCAGGTCTTACCTTACTATTCATAGGAGAATTCATAATGGAGAGAAACCCTATGAATGCAATCACTGTGGGAAAGCCTTTAGTGATCCCTCATCCCTTAGGTTGCACGTGAGAATTCACACCGGAGAAAAACCTTATGAATGTAACCAGTGTTTTCACGTCTTCCGCACTAGTTGTAACCTCAAAAGCCACAAGAGAATCCATACAGGGGAGAATCACCATGAATGTAATCAGTGTGGAAAGGCCTTCAGCACCAGGTCCTCTCTTACTGGACACAACAGCATTCATACAGGGGAGAAACCGTATGAGTGCCATGATTGTGGGAAAGCCTTCAGGAAGAGCTCCTATCTGACACAGCACGTGAGAACTCACACAGGAGAGAAACCCTATGAATGTAACGAGTGTGGGAAATCCTTCAGCAGCAGCTTTTCTCTGACTGTGCACAAGAGAATACATACTGGAGAGAAACCCTACGAGTGCAATGACTGTGGGAAGGCCTTTAATAACCTCTCTGCTGTTAAGAAGCACTTGAGAACTCACACTGGAGAAAAGCCCTATGAATGTAACCATTGTGGGAAATCTTTTACCAGCAACTCTTATCTCTCTGTGCACAAGAGAATACATAACAGGTGGATATGAGTTGTGATGAGAAATGACTGGAAATCTCTATGAGAAAGCACTTGTTGACCTCTCACCCTAAGACAACCTGAGAGAACTCACACCAGGTATATAAGTTATCTGTTTCTGCCTAACAAATCATTCCCTAAAACTTTGACTTAAAACAAGAAGCATTTATTATTTCACAGTTTCCAAAAGGAATTCAGGAACAGTTTAGCTTTGTAGTTCTGGCTCAGAATCTCTTGAGGTTTCAGCCCAGATGTCAGGCAGGGCTGTGGTCAGCAGGTCTTTGCTAATGAAGGGTCCATTTCCAAGATGGCCCTCACATGCCTAGAAAGTCGGTGCCGGTTGTTGACAGGAGACTTCCTGACCACATAGGCCTTTCCACAAGGCTACGTAGCTTTACGATGTGGCAGCAGGTTCCTCCCAAAGCAAGTGATTCAAGGGAGGGCCACTGAAGAAGCCATAATGTCCTACCACCTAGGCACAGAAGGATGTTTTCACCTCTTTCATATGGAATCGGTCACAGAATGATAGTGATACTGTGTGGGAGAAGATGAGTATCAGGAGACAGATCAGAGACCCTTCTTAGAAAGTTGCCATGAAATTAATGAAGAAAAGCTTTCAGCAGACCCTCATCCTTTTAATCATTGTGACATAGCCTCAGTAAGCTCTGGTCCATCCATTCTGGAGAGAAACCTGTGAGCACCGTCTCTGTGGTAAAGCTTTCAGCCCACACTCACTCCGACGTGCCCGAAAGATTATGTATTGGGAAAAACCTGAGGAGTGGAATGATGATAGGAAACCCTTCAGTAATAGCTCCCACTCAGGGGAAAGCCCTCTGAAGGTCAAGAGTGTGTGTCTGACACACGTGAGATCACACAACAGAGGAAGACTCCAGAAATGTGTAAAACCCTGTGGCCCAAACGTCCACATTACTGACCACCAGACATTGAGGTATGCCCACAGTGACTATGGGAAAGACTTGAATGTTCTGGAGCTTGAACACAGGGCCTTGCGCATGAGTGCTCTACCACTGAGCTACACCTCCAGCCCTTTTTATTTTGAGACAGAATTTTGCTAAGTTGCCCAGACTAGCCTCAAACTTGCAATCCTCCTGCCCCAGCCTCTCACGTAGCTGGAGTTAACAGACATGCACCCCCACATTTGACTTGTTCTCTCACTTTTTTAAAGATGAAAATTTATTAACACAAAGAACAGGGAAAGCCTTCAAGGATGCCTCTTGTGTTAAATGGTCCCTGAATGCAAAACCTATAAGTGTGTTTGGAAGTTTTTCAGTGATTCAGGAACTCACTAGGGGACACCAGGAGTGGAGTCTGTTAGGTGCCTCCGTCTCAGCACTTCATGAATGACTGCAGAATAATCTGTACTGGAAACAAACGTACAGTGAGTGTAGAGTCCCCTGCCAACATCTCACCTGCAGGCTGGACCACTAGCTCATTAATTTTTCAGTCTGTTTTTTTGTTTTGTTTTGTTTTTAATATTTTCTAAGTTGTCAATGGATCTTTATTTATTTATATGTGATACCGAGAATCGAACCCATGCCTCACACATGCAAGGCAAGCACTGTACCACTGAACTATAGCCCCAGCACTTCAGTATGTTTTCATATAAACATTTGTGTCTTTATCATTTTCCTAAAATGAACCCTAAGTTGTGTTCCAAAATTTTACTGCAATGTATTTATTATAATTTACTCTTTGAAAACATTGGTACATTGCATATTCAAAAAGTTATTTCTGAATAGCTCCCGAATGCTCTCATCTTAATGGACATTAAACAACATTTCTGGTGCACTTTTTTCAAAGTGGTATTTTTGTCAGAATTTGTGGGCTTTATGAAGCTATTTTCTCCTTCTATACTTGTGTGACAGATGCTGTTAGCTTCTTTCCCAATGTCCATTCTCCCCTACTTACTTAACAGTTTGTTCAGGTTGTCTGTAAGCAGAATTGAAAATTATCTGCCACCTTTCCTAAAGCCCAGGCAGTCTTTGTTCCACTCTCCTGGACACGAGGACTGGGCAGGACTCACTGGGGGCGGGCAGGGAACTGAGGGAAGCTCTCTTTTCTATTCATTTTACCATTACTTTCTCTTGGAAAGGTCTGCAGATTGAAAGGTTTATTTATTTGGGGGGTTTTGTTGCCATTTTTTTTTTTTTTTTTTTTTTTTTTACTGTGTTGACAACTAGAGTTAAACTAAACTTAAAAAAAAAAAAAGAAAGAAAACACTTTGGGTTCCTCAAGAGCCTCTGGCTGTATCAGCCAGAGACTGCTTATTCTTGAGATTTTCCTTCCTTTGATTAAAAGTAACCCCTCACTGGCTGAAGCCAAAGTGATTTGTTTTCAAGATGGTGTTAACTTGCAGCTGAATGTAGTATCTAACCGTAAACCTATTAGTTTGTCACATTTTATACATGTTTCATGTTTCTTTGAAAACTGTATATTCTTTAATATGTAGACATAGGGCATATGCATATTAATACAATCTTATGGTGTTATAATATGTACTGATATTTTTTTTTCTTTTAATCCTACTTAGTGATAGAGGCATAGTAAAGTCTTCCATTATGACTATAGATTAACATTCTTCCTGTAATTATGTCATTTTTATTTATTTTGATATGCTGTAACTAAGTGCATACCAGATTAGGAATTTTCATGTAAATCATTCCTTTTATGTAGGGGTCATGTTTTCGTATAACAAAGCATTATATTGCATTGATAATAAATGATCAAACTCTTACATAGCACCTTAAGAATGCCTTACAAATATTAACTATTGAGTGTTCCTTAAGTATGTTGGTTATTATCCTACCTATCCGTGAGCAAACTGGTGTGGTGCATTTATGATATTTGCCTCAGTTCACAGGCTAGTCGAGAGCTCACATTTGAACCCAGACAGCCCATCCTCTTGACCACTAACCTACTTGTTGAGTACATTCTATTGAACTACTTCATCCTAATGGGAAAGGGATAGATTATAGAAAACAAGGAAATGTTGTATTTGTTAGGCAGAAAACTAAAATATTCTAAGATTTGAGGAGACTTGAAAACTTAACACATTTATGTAAAATAGGAAAGTAGACCCCTCATTTAAGGGACATTTGAGCAGAGACCTTGATGAGGTGGGACAGTGAGATGTAAATTTGTGTGGCAAGAGCAGTCTTGGCACATAGAGGCCCATAAAGAGGCCAGTATGGTGACAGGAACGTGTCGGGCTGGTGTTGAGGGAGAATTGGAGAGGATGTGGTCAGAGCCATGATGGCGCTGATCTGGTTTTCTGGGTCATTGTTAGGACTTTTCCTTACACTCTCAAGTCAGTTGTGGAAGCAGGAGTTGTGGGCACAATTCAGAGAAAGCAAAAAAGTACAAGGACCAGTATCGAGAAGGCAGAACTCTTAAATCATGGCAAAAACCCAAATAGATAAAAATGTTGGCAGCTCATCACTTAAGGCTAACTTATTACAAACTCCTCCCAAGCTAGAGGAAGGGAGGAGAAAAGGGCAGGGGAGGCATTAGGGAGCAAAGTTGATCAAATTCTGCTTTTCTGATGCACAAATATACCACAGTGATACCTGCCATTCTGTGCAATTAACATGCACCAGTTAAAGAACTCTTCCCAAAGGAAAAGACCAAGAATCATAAGAGTAATGGGTTAATTCCGAGTATGTCCATTCACAGAAAGTACAAAGGTTCCCCATGTAAGAGAGGTTGCCGACCTCAGCCTAAAAAGGAAACTTAAGAAGTAAAATACCAGGGCTGGGGCTGGAGCTCAGTGGTAGAGCCTCAGCACTATAGATAGATAGATAGATAGATAGATAGATAGATAGATAGATAGATAGATAGATAGAGGTTGCTGAGAGCCATTGCCAAGTAGGAATGATGCATGGCAATTTCTTTGTCAGCCTACCCAATGTTGCTTAGAGGGAGGACTCTCCATTGTGGAAATGGGCTTGCCTTGGACCCAGGTCATTTGCAGTGACATTGCATGAGTGTTTGAGAAAGCTGACCCTGCTCAAGGACCAGGGTGGATCCGGGTTTAGGGAAGATCCTGCTGGATTAGGGCAGTTCCAGGTTTAAGGTGGACCCTGCTGGGAATAGGGCATATCCTGCTGCCTCAGGCGCCCGCCCACTCCTTGAGTTCCCGTTGAGTTCTCGCGGGATTCAGAGAGTATTTTGGGATGCAGAGCCTGGTGGAGGTGTGGATTTTCCCCAGAACATGCGTGTAGAGTGCCGGTGAGAGTTCGGGAATAAAGAATTGCTGTTTGAATCTACAAGGCTGTGAGTGGCTCGTGATTTTGTGCGCAGCCAGACTGCGGCAAAAGGTATTGTGTCCATCTACCAAAAAAAAAGTAAAATGCCAACATTCCCTTTTTTGGTTGATTCGATTGGAATTTTTAGTTTAGCAAGACAATGTATTGGCCAGTAATGTGGGGAAAGTGGCATTCCCACAGCATAACACTGGGAGCTGAATTAGTACAAATATCTGTAGATGTGCAATGACCTTAACCTTACTACACTGAATCTACTTTGGAAGAAAACACCCCTCCAATACTGTTAGCACTCAGATATGACAGGAAGCCTGTCTGTATGCATTGTACAGCTCAGGCTGATAGATTCCCTTCAGGTCTAGACAAAAGCTATCGCTTCCATGATGGATTTTCCTCAACCTCAAGTTGAGTGGGAGGGCATGGTGGGTTGACAGGTGTCTGCCAAAAATTTGTGTCTACTCAGAACTTCAAGATGTGATCTTATTGAATATGAAGATCTGAAGTTGAAAACATCCCAAATTAAAGGTGTCCCCTACCTTCAGTGATCTGGTGCCCTTACAGGAAGGAAGGAGAAAGACCCAGAGGAGGGAGCTGGGTGAAGAGGAGGCCAAGGCTGCTGAAACTGCTAAGCGCCGGAGTTTCTGCTGTAGAAAAAATAAATGAATCCATTATAGAAGTCTTCCTTGATTTCACTCAAAACAAAAACTTTGAACATTGTCTTTAAAAGTCTGATGATCACCTGATTTATCATATGGATGCCCTGAAGACCCTTAGCCACACCTAATCCCTTTTTTTAAATTTCCCAGGCCCCCAATTCTAAGCCCTGCCGCCTTCATTTTTCAGTGTAACTCACCAAAATCATTGCCTGAGAATCAGCTGGGATGATTGAAATACATGGGAAAGAAAACTCAGTTGAATATTTTAATACAAGAAAAAAAAGAGAAGAAAACCTTCATGGAGGGAGGTATCAGCTCACCTACTTGGATTAAGTTGATACCTCGGGACAGATACTAGCTTTATGCAAATGGAGGGCCCAGGCGAGCCTTGTTTGACCATCCTCACGCCCACCTGTGCAGTGCTTTCATCTCAGGTGGCCACACAACCTGTGCAGACACTCCCACACTGACCACACAACACCACTCCAGGCAGGAAGGAAATCCTGAGGAAGCCCTGGCCCAGGTTATGGGATGGAGGAGGCACAGAATATGCAGATACCCTCACACTGGAGAGTTAAAAGCCACCCTAGCCCTGGGGGGAGTG